CAGCATACAGACATTTATGGATCGAGCCTCAGAGTTCCACCGTTTTCTCGACGTGTGCAAGCAGTTTCCAACAGTCAAAGTCAAAGCAGCCCGTTGCAACATGCATGGAGCTGCCAAACCCATCTGCATGCAGCAGGGTTTCGTCCAGAAACAGCAGCAACCTTGCTGCAGAACACCAGTCACCAGTTAGTGTGCAATGTTGTTGGGCCGAAGCCCACGTAAAAATTGCAAGAATGACCTTGACGATCAAACTTGACGGGAATTGGAGTAGTTTTCACCTAGCAAACAGCGCACCTCCGCTAAGCGTCACTGATAGCGCTATTGCCCCTTCCGCAAGGATGCCTGAGGCTGGATCCTCCGGGGAATCATTTTGTGGCTAGAACCAATCATTCCTGTTGTCAAAAAGCAAGCAGCAAGATTAAGAAAACCGGCAGCTAGAACTATAATCATTCCAGTTTTTCAAAAAGCAAAATTAAGAAAATGGGCAGCAACCGCCTCTTCCCTTCTTGGCCGAGCATAGTTACCCCAGTAGGGTGTGCTGCCACTGGCTTGGTGCGATGCCAGCGCAACACGTGAAGGCTTCTGAGCGAGCTCATGAAGACACTTCCCCAGCAAAAATAGATGTGACAAGCAAGTCTCCAGTTGGAGACATATCAGTTGTCACACTGATAAGAACAGATACTACACTTGATCATAGCCAAAAGGCCGAGAAGGTATGCTCTAGGGTGCAGATTTCCAGATCTTGTGTGCAAGTGGCAATTGCATTGTATGCAACATATCGAATCGTTTTCAATTTGGAGGTTCCAAGAAAGAACGTCCGAGCAAGATTCAGTTGCTCTGACCAACTTCTCATTTGGAGTTCAGGGTGGAGAAGCTCTGGATTTCGAGTCTTGAGTTGAAAGTACGAGGCCATGTTTTAGAAGGGCGTCTTCGGCGTGCCGACTAGTCTTTCTTGTGGGGGGTGGTCAGCACGGGGAGAGTGCGGGTTTTCTAGAGCTCATGATGCATGATTTTAAACATGCTCTTTTTGAAGAATTTGTTTAGTATTGAAGAAAATTTTTCATGTGCGAAGCATGGACTTGTTGAGAATTGTTCTATGGCTGCGCTGCTACTCAAGGGCGAGAGAAAAATTTTCTTGAGACTGGGGGCTTATATCTGTCTAGCAGGTTCTGAGCCCCCTACTTCAGTGCTTTCGATAGAGGTGGGCCCAGCCATGCAGGCCTCTTTGGCCAGAACAGCTCAGCTGAGAGACCTTGCCAGCTTGATTTGGGCCTGCCTTTTCTCTGTCGAGCGCCTGCAATTGCTTAGAGTAAGCTGGCAAGTCCGTTTTAGCTTCTTCTGTGCCCAACCTTGATATGAGTGATTTTTCTGCACAGGGCGCAGGTGTTCCGACAGAGCCCGCCGGGCCGATTCATCAGGGGAGAGAGGCGGCGGAACCGTCGGGCTGCCATTTGCCGGTGGGAGAGTCCGTGTCTTCTGAAAGCCGCGTGTCCATGTGGCACTTGATTGATGAGCGGCCTCTGCCTAGCGAGGCGGACGACAACATCCCGGAGTCTGAAGATTTAAATTTTCTTCTTGAGGATTCGGCTGTTGATGAGGGTGAGTGGTACAGAGAGATCAGGGACGAGGATCATGGTGTCGCTCCCAGTGAGTTTCCGCCTGGATTGGACGTTGAATCGCAAATCGGCAGAGAGAGCGAGGATCCCGTGCATGAGGTCTCTGATTCTTCGTTCTCCAGATTGGCTGCTCACAGCTCCTTCAAGAGGCTAAGGCTGGAACGACCAAGGCAGGCGTGGGAGAGCCATCCGACCTTTAACCGGAAGTCGGGTAGCTCGTCACTTCATGCTTGGGCGAGTGCTGCTTTCCTTCCATCGGTGGGTGTGCGAGAGACTTTAAACTTTCCGAAGCCGGAAGAGAGCTACGGAGGGGAAGATGCAGCCCATGTGCCTTGGACCATCGAGCGACGACTGAAGGGAGTCCGCATTCAGAGGTCCGATGAAGATGAGAGAAATCATGCTCTGAAGAAGCTTAAAGCTGTGGTGCTCCTGGACCCTTTGGCTACGGCTCTGGGTAAAAGTTTAGTGCAGAAAACGGGTGCTCTTGAGACGGAGGAGATCATTGCAGCGAGTTTTAGCGATGCTTTCAGTTCAAAATCGGCGGGTACGCTCACCAAAAGGGCTGGCTCTTTGCAGAGGCTGGTGGTTCAACTTTATAAGCAAGGGGTGGCTTCTCCGTGGCGCATGGAGGAGGCAGACTTGTATTCGGCTTTGACCACACTGCGTGAGGAAGGTTGTGGGGCAACATCACCAGCTCACATGTTGGAGAGTTTACATTTTCTTCATGCCATTGCAAGATTTTTGCATTTGGATTTGGAGCTGGTGATCTCTGCTAGATGCAAGGGTGTTGCTCATTCATGCTTTATGTCAAAGGCGCCGTTGGAGCAGCGTGACCCGCTGACATGCTTCCAGGTGCGGCGACTTGAAGAAGCAATGGTGAGAGCTGGCCCGGTTGGTCAATGTATCTTGGGACAGATTTTATTTTGCGTGCATGCCGTTTGTCGCTGGAAGGATTCCCAGAAACTAAAACTTTTGGAGCTGCTGGGCACGGGAGAGAGCCAGATTCTGTTTGGGGATGCTCTGGGAAGCAAGACGTCTTTGAGCAAGGAGGCCAAGACAAAATTTACACCATACGCGGCGCTGGCGCAGGGGCTTACTGAATGCTCTTGGGCGCGCTTGTGGATTGAAGCCAGACGCCAGTGTAGGCTCAAGTTCGGTGCTGGACCGGATGGCTTTTGCCTTCCTACGAGGTCTCAGCGACTGGATGAGTGGGGCTCCACGCCTATGGGAGCTGGTGAGGCGTCTTCCTACTTAGCGGAGATTTTGGAAGGCTCTGAAACGGAGGGACAAGTTCTGGGAACACATTCCTTGAAAGTCACCCTGCTTACGTGGGCCTCTCGATCGACAGTGGTGCGCCTGAGCAAAGGGGAACGTCTCCTGTTGGGTCACCACATTGTACCGGGGGTCAAAAGTATGGTGACTTATAGCCGCGAGGCTTATACGAGTTTGATCGGCAAGCTTTTAGCTCTTTACCGCTCGATTCGAAGCGGAGCTTTTCAGCCAGATCTCGCGCCTGCCGACAGGGTGCTACAAGTTGCTGACGCCTTGGCCGCGGCTGAGGAAGGTCAAGGCCTGGGCACAGGAGCGCGGGATGAGGCGGCCGCAGAGCAGTTGGCTGGGTTTGAGGGCGAATCGGAGGACTCCGCAGATGATGCTGAGGCCGACGGGCCCTTTGAGCTTCCAGGCCAACCTGCAGTGAGAGTGCCGTTTGCTAATGTCGATGTTTCTCAGTGCCGGATTCATAGTATATCAGGCATTGCGCATTGCCTTCGGGATGCAAGCTTCTTCTACTGTGGTCGTTTGTGCACTTCGAGATACTCCAGATATTCTGGAGTTGGGACTGAAGATCCCGATGTATGCATGCAATGTACGAGAGCCATGAACGAGTGAGGCAGAGGATATGCGCATTTGTTTTGCAGATGCTATTCCCTTGGCGCCTGGGAGCGGTGCCAGAGAGAGGGGATTCGAAAGAATATGCGTACTTGTTATGCAAATGCTACTGCCCCTGGCGCCTGGGAGCGGTGCCAGAGAGAGGGGATGAATATGCGTACTTGTCGTGCAGATGCTACTGCCCCTGGCGCCTGGGAGCGGTGCCAGAGAGAGGGGAGTCGGAAGAATATGCGTACTTGTCATGCAGATGCTACTGCTTGGCGCCTGGGAGCGGTGCAATATGCGTACTTGTCATGCAAATGCTACTGCCCATGGCACCTGGAAGCGGTGCCAGAGAGAGGGGAGCTGGGTGAGAGCTCGATTGCAAGTCCAATGGCATCTGGCTCCAGCTTCGAGGCAGTATCGCTTGAACTCACTAGGGAAACATGTTCATGCGTCATTGAAGTTCTGATGAGGGGATTATCTAGTGCAAGGGGGAAGCTGTCAGTTCTTTGTTCGTGAGATCGCGAAATCTTGGTGTATCATGGCTTCTGCGAACCTTGATTCGGAAGCAGCTTTCTTGGACCGCGCTAGAAAGATCGGACTGTCTGAGGAAACCCTTACAGGACTCTTGAACAACAGCTTCAACACCTTTGGCCGCCTGGCCTTTGCGGTGTCGGCTACGCCAACGACTCTCACCGACGAGGCAGTGGACAACTGGATTGATGGATTGGGCATGAGACCGTCTGGTTTTCAGAAAGCCAGCCTCCGTCGGCTCCTTTTCGAAGGAGTGAGCATGGCGATTGAAGAGGTTCGTACCCGCATCGAGCCCGGCGTGGAAGGACATCCTAAGAAGTTGGCAGCGGCGGAACGCTTGGATAGGCAGGCTAAACAGGAGAGGTCTCTGGGAGGTTTGGTTTTTACTCCTGAAACCCGGCCAGCCAACTCGTGTGTAGATCTGTGCGTGGAAATGCTTGAAACAGGTGTGTTGCAGTATCACGTTCCAAGCAAGTGGATTAGTAGGGCGCAGGAAGCACAGTGCTTGAAGAGGGACAGCAGCATAAACATTGATGCCGACAACAACCTGAAGATTGCAACCAAATCTGCAGATCAGACATGTGACGTTTCATCAGAGATGAGGTTGCGCCAGGCTTGGAGCCGCCGCTCCTTAGCCTTCGATTTGGCGAACCTTGCAAGCTTCAGGGTCATGGAGGAACATGTTCAATTCTTGTTTTCAGTTCTTCAGAGAGCGCAGCCGAAGGGCTTTCAGGGTGTCATGCTTTCACAAATCATTGAGGCAGATAAGCAGATGTTCATTCTTGCAAGCAACAACCTCATGGGACGTCTAACGGCCTCGCCAGGGGCGGCTCCTGCTTTGGACGCGGAGATCAGTAGACTGTCTAGGAGCCCTGACATCATGCAGTATTTGGCACCCTTGCAGAACCCTGTAATCCCACATGTACCTTGGACCCCTCCCAAGGGAGATGGCAAAGGCAAGAAGGGAAAGGACAAGGGGAACAAGGGAAAGGTCGCGACAGGTTCAAAGTTAGATTTGCCGGAGGGCTGTGTGACCAAAGATGATGCGAACAAGCCTTTGTGTTTCGCTTATAACACGCACGGTTGCAAGAATACCTGTAAGCAGGGCCGGTGCATAAAGGGCTACCACAAGTGTTGGAAAAAGGGTTGCTTCGGAAATCATCCGTACACCAGCTGTCCGAAGGCTGGTGCCTGAAGGTCCCTTCCATTGAGTGCGTCCATCAGTGGAGGGAGCGACGGGGGCGCATTGCAAACTGGGGACCTGCTGGTCCCTGATGCTGAGGGGTGGTCCAAGGCCCGTTTGAATAAACCAGGCCAAATCACGAGTGATGATCTCTTGACCTTGTTTGATATGCTCCCTCAGGGAAATCTTCAGAAGGGTCAGAGAGAAGTGAAACAGTCCTTCGTAACCGGCTGTTACTCCCAAGGTGGATTCCGTGGGTTGCGTAAGGAGTGTGCAGAGTTTCCATACGCAAGTCGTGTCATGACCCGCTTTGTGCAGGAGCGTCTTCCAGGTCATGTTTTCTCCACATGTGGCATTTTTGCAGACAGTCTCACGCCTTTGCATCGTGACGGCCGCAATGCGCAGTGGCCGAATGCAGTTTTTCGCTTGAGTGATTTTAAGGAGGGGGGCTTATGGATAGAGGGCCCTGGGGACGATGTTCGAGTCTTCAATTCTAAAGAGCTGGTTGGAGCGGTTCACGAAATTGGGGACGATCCGCTTATCTTTGACGCTTGGTCTAAATACCACGAAACTGAACCTTGGACAGGTCGAAGAGTTGTTCTGATCACTTGGGTTGTGCAGCAACTTGAAAAATTAGAACCGAAGGATGTAGAGGCAGCGCACCAATTGAACTTCGTGCTACCTCCTGAGGTGCCGTTGCCTGTGCAAACGGCGCAGCTGGGAGAACGGCCACCCATGGTGTTTGAGGTTTTCGCAGGCAAAGGCCTCTTGTCCCGGGCCCTGATGCAATGCGGATTCGCTGTCCACAGTTTCGACCAACATCATTGCGATTCTCATGTGCCCATCTCGCAGCTGGATTTAGCAACAGACTCAGGGCAAGCTTTGTTCTGGGACTTTCTTGAGACACAGCGCCCGTTTGCAATACATTTGGGCGCCCCATGTGGGACCAGCAGCAAGGCCAGAGGCAGACCGTTGTACAATGGACAGCCGGGACCCCAACCTCTTAGGAGTAGTGAGTTCCCGCTAGGCCTGCCCTCCTTAAAGCCGGGGTCAGTTGAGGCCACTCGTGTAAAGTTGGCAAACCGTTTGTATGCCTTCACATATCGCATTTTGCGATATTGCCTGGAGCACGACATAGTGGTCAGTCTTGAGAATCCCGCAAATAGTTTCCTATGGGAGGTGTTGCAAGCCTTTGAGCCACAAGGGGTTGCTAACCGTATCCTTCCCAGACTGCAGTCCATCATCTTTGACTTGTGTTGCCATGGGGGCTTTCGCCCCAAACGCACAAAGTTGCTTGCAACGCCTGGCTGCTTCGAGCCGTTGCGTGCCCTTTGCGATGGAAAGCACATGCACAAACCTTGGGGACAAGTTGTTGAGTTTGGCTCCGTTCGGTATGCCACCAAGGATGAGGCGGCCTACCCAGCATTGTTTGCCTCTCGCTTCGCTTCGTGTGTGGAGCGCAGGGCTTTGTCGCTAGGCCTCAACCTGTGTCGTCGCCCATCCCCTAAGGACCTCTCGCTGGCCATGTTGGGCCGACAAAACAAGCGTCATCCGCCGCTGGTTTCCGAATACCAGTCTGTGATTACTATGCCAGCCGTAGCATTCAAATCGCCAAAACACTTGAAGCTCTTGCGCAGCATCGGGGGTGAGGAGCTTCGAGCTTCCACTGAGCCAAACCCTAACACCCCTTTGGGACGGACCATCCCAGAGGCCTCGAAGCCTACCAGTAACACCTCTTCGAGAGGGACCATCTCGGAGGCCAATACCCCTAGTAGTTCACGGGATCCAGCTGAGAGGGTTGGTGACCGGGTTAGGGTTGGGGTATACAGGACTCCTGAACAGTTTGTAGAGGAGGCTAAGAAGGTCATTCATCCAGTAGATTCTTCAAACCCGCTTGAGAAAGCCACGTTGTTTGCCTTGAAAGAAAACTTGACTAAAGACCCGAGGCTCATAGTCTTGAAGCGAAACTTGGCGGTGGCGCGAGTGAAGCAGGAGGTGAAGAGATGCAGTGATGCTGAGGCGGAGCTTCGCAAGGCCATGCACCCGGCAGTGGCTAAGGTTATGAGCGGCAAATCCATTTTGGCGTTGGAATCTTTACTCAAGTCCGAGGGCTATGACGATCTTGAAGTCATCGGTTTCTTAAAAGAAGGGGTAAGGTTGGTCGGAACTTCCCAATGCCCAGAATGCTTTGATCGTAAGTTTGTCCCCGCTTTCTTGACAGAGACGGAGCTCATGGCCTCAGCGGCCACCAGACGAAAGTCCTTGTTGAGTAAGTTCGAAAAGGTAGACCCGGAGGAGGCACGGATCTTGAAGGAGGCCACGGATGAGGAAGTGGCCATGGGCTTTTTGGAGGGCCCCTACTATGATCAGAGCCAGATTACGAAATTGCTGGGAACCAACGATTGGACAGTCATCAGAAGGTTTGTTTTGCTCCAGGGGGCAGAGCTGAAACCCAGACCCATAGACAACTGCTTGGAATCCCAATTAAACGCGGGCTACAGCTCCAGCATTCACCTGCGGTTACAAGATTCGGACTACATCTCAGCCATGGCCCTCCACGTAGCGAGGGAAGTGAGCGAAGGCCGAGCGCACAAGGATGCATCGGAGTGGAAGGGCAAAACACTTGACCTCAGCAAAGCTTACAAGCAACTTGCTATCCATCCGAGTCACCGACCTCTTTCAGTAATTGCAGTTAGGCAATCGGACGGAAAGGATGCCTTATACATTTCGAACTCGCTCATGTTTGGTAGCACTGCAGCGGTTTATGCCTTTAATAGGGTTTCCAGGGCCCTGTGGTTTCTCTTGAACAAACTTCTATGTATACCAGCTGCCGTCTTCTTCGATGACTATCCTTTGATGTCGCCGGCAGGTAGCGCAGAAAACGCAGACTCCACGGCGAGTGCGTTCTTGGATGCCCTAGGATGGCGTCACGCCAAGACGGGCGCAAAAGGACGCCCCTTTGCGTCAGACTTCGACGTCCTTGGTATGCATTTGGGTTTAGGTGATCTTGCTAAGGGTACTGTAGTCTTAGCAAACAAACAGGGCAGGATAGAGAGGATTGTTGACCGTCTTCAGGAAATCAGCTTGAAAGGAGAAATCCGACGACACGAGGCTCAGGTCATCCAAGGCCTGTTGCAGTACGCCTCGGGCTTTTACGCAGGCCGATCGCTGAAGCATGCGTCGCACATTCTTGCGAGGATTGTTGGGGGTCTGCACTTTAGTCCTAGGGACCTTAGTGACTTCTGTAGACACACCGTTTCTTTGCTGAAGCACGAGAACCCTAGAGTCTTGAGCTGTGCGATGATAACTGACATCATCCATCTTTGGACCGACGGATCGTGGGAAGCTGATGTTGGAGGCATTGGTCTAGCCGCCCACGATTGCTTCAGTGGAACAGGCTGGGTCTTCACAGGAAAGGTCCCGTTGCAGTTGCTTGAATCTTGGAAAGCAGAGGTAGGAGAGCAACTCATCTGCGAGATCGAGATGTTTGCTGTGCTAGCTTCCCTGCTGCAACTGAATGCTCTTGTGTCGTCTCGCCGCATAGTGTGGTGGGTTGACAACGATGCAACCAGAGGTGTCATGATCAAGGGCGCCAGCCGCAGTTGGGCCATGCACACTTTAGCCCGAGTGTTCTCTGAGCTCGACAGAGAATGGCCATCCATGTGGTGGGTTTGCAGAGTCCCATCCTACTCCAATCCGGGGGATGCGCCGTCGAGATACCAAGGAGAGGAGTCTTTGGTGACGGTCGGAGCATCTTGTGTGCAACCCTTCTCGAGACTTGAAGAGCTTGTTGGAAGGATCCAGGCCTTCAACCGAGCGTGAGATGATCTGGGGTTTGGGGCTCGCTTGAAGGCCACAGGGAGAGTGGCCGGGAGACTTCAAACCTTTTTGGTGCAGCAGCGCAGCCTCGCGAGACCCCAGATCGCTTGAAAGAAGAAAGGACCGATCCCTTTTCAAATATGTATATTGTGATTGGAAGATTTCATAATTTATAGACCTCTAAGAGGTCAACATATTTGTTGAGACATATTCGCATTTATGTTATAGTACGAATGGGGCTATAAGATTTCCCCCGGCAAGAACGAGGAAGATTTATAGGAGCTTGAAAACCACCACACCACAAAGAAGGGCGTCTTCGGCGTGCCGACTAGTCTTTCTTTTGGGGGGTGGTCAGCACGGGGAGAGTGCGGGTTTTCTAGAGCTCATGATGCATGATTTTAAACATGCTCTTTTTGAAGAATTTGTTTAGTATTGAAGAAAATTTTTCATGTGCGAAGCATGGACTTGTTGAGAATTGTTCTATGGCTGCGCTGCTACTCAAGGGCGAGAGAAAAATTTTCTTGCCCTCCCAGCCCACCCGGGTTTGGGGCTCGCTTGAAGGCCACAGGGAGAGTGGCCGGGAGACTTCAAACCTTTTTGGTGCAGCAGCGCAGCCTCGCGAGACCCCAGATCGCTTGAAAGAAGAAAGGACCGATCCCTTTTCAAATATGTATATTGTGATTGGAAGATTTCATAATTTATAGACCTCTAAGAGGTCAACATATTTGTTGAGACATATTCGCATTTATGTTATAGTACGAATGGGGCTATAAGATTTCCCCCGGCAAGAACGAGGAAGATTTATAGGAGCTTGAAAACCACCGCACCACAAAGAAGGGTTGAAACTGCATTTGGCAACCAAGATGGTCTGATGGTTTGAGAAAGGGTCAATTTGGGGGTTCAGGCCGAGTCCGGAGACAAGCTTTGGGGCTTACGTATGGCACTGTCCAATGCTGGTTCGATTGCCAGGGTCCGGCTGTTTGGGGTTTAAGAGTTAAAAAGTCCGGTCCCGGGTTGGGTTGGGTGAAGAGAGTTCGAGGTTTGGGGTTTGGGAAGGAAAAAAAGGTCCGCTGCCGCTGGAAGCTTTGGAATTTTGGGTTTGAGGTTGGTTTGGAATTTGTGGTTTTCGGCAGGTCTGGGTTTCGGGTTTGGGGTTGAGATCGTCCGAGTTGGGCCAAGTCGGTCCGGGCTTTCCATGACTCCGCTTCAAGCCCCAACAAAGCTTTAATCCCGTAACCTCTACAAAACCAAACCTTATCGCTTTCAAGAACCCCAGACGGGCAACCAGGTTTCGGGGGCAGCATGGCTTTGAAGGACAAACGTCATGTCAGTTGGCAACAGCTCACAAGCTAGTTGCCTCTCAACAAATTCTGCTATGGATGACTCCATCGGAGACTCCTAAGGCGTTACAGGCCTCAGAGTGCAGTGAACTGCTCGACCCTATGAGAGCGAGCTGCTGGATCTCCGCCCAACACTAGCCAGGTAAGTTTATGCAGAACCTGCATTTTCTTGCAAGCCATGATTTGGTTCAAGTAGGCTGTGTAAGCAGTCCGACGATTTTTGCAGGTCCTTTCTTGCAGTCCGACTTCCGTTTCTCCCTGAAAAGAAGATGGCTCAATAAACCTAGTCTTGGCCCGCAACTTCCTGTACACATCAGATAAAAGCGAGAACTGTGGGTTCTGGCTTTGACCAAGTGTGGCACTAGCAAGCTTTAAACCCGAAAAGCTCTACTTCTTGCTTGGCTTGGAACACTTGTGCAGTGTTCTGGCATCGATGATCAGAGCAGGTTCCAAACATTGTGTGGGCTTAAAGATGTGCCACAGCTCGATTTAGAAGCAGCAGACCGACCTAGCTCCGCCGGCAGCAATTGGTTCTCTGTTCGTTCTGTTCGTTGGAGCTCAGAGCTCCCCAAAAATTGTGTGAGTCACATTGATGCGTCCCATTCACGGCAACCTTTAGTAAAAGGCGAAAGATTGGTGCGCTATGAAGTGAACGCTGTGATGACCAGGCATGGAACTTTCGGCTTCTGCAGACAAGCTTCAGAGTGCTCAGCATACAGACATTTATGGATCGAGCCTCAGAGTTCCACCGTTTTCTCGACGTGTGCAAGCAGTTTCCAACAGTCAAAGTCAAAGCAGCCCGTTGCAACATGCATGGAGCTGCCAAAACCATCTGCATGCAGCAGGGTTTCGTCCAGAAACAGCAGCAACCTTGCTGCAGAACACCAGTCACCAGTTAGTGTGCAATGTTGTTGGGCCGAAGCCCGCGTAAAAATTGCAAGAATGACCTTGACGATCAAACTTGACGGGAATTGGAGTAGTTTTCAACTAGCAAACAGCGCACCTCCGCTAAGCGTCACTGATAGCGCTATTGCCCCTTCCGCAAGGATGCCTGAGGCTGGATCCTCCGGGGAATCATTTTGTGGCTAGAACTAATCATTCCTGTTGTCAAAAAGCAAGCAGCAAGATTAAGAAAACCGGCAGCTAGAACTATAATCATTCCAGTTTTTCAAAAAGCAAAATTAAGAAAATGGGCAGCAACCGCCTCTTCCATTCTTGGCCGAGCATAGTTACCCCAGTAGGGTGTGCTGCCACTGGCTTGGTGCGATGCCAGCGCAACACGTGAAGGCTTCTGAGCGAGCTCATGAAGACACTTCCCCAGCAAAAATAGATGTGACAAGCAAGTCTCCAGTTGGAGACATATCAGTTGTCACACTGATAAGAACAGATACTACACTTGATCATAGCCAAAAGGCCGAGAAGGTATGCTCTAGGGTGCAGATTTCCAGATCTTGTGTGCAAGTGGCAATTGCATTGTATGCAACATATCGAATCGTTTTCAATTTGGAGGTTCCAAGAAAGAACGTCCGAGCAAGATTCAGTTGCTCTGACCAACTTCTCATTTGGAGTTCAGGGTGGAGAAGCTCTGGATTTCGAGTCTTGAGTTGAAAGTACGAGGCCATGTTTTAGAAGGGTTGAAACTGCATTTGGCAACCAAGATGGTCTGATGGTTTGAGAAAGGGTCAATTTGGGGGTTCAGGCCGAGTCCGGAGACAAGCTTTGGGGCTTACGTATGGCACTGTCCAATGCTGGTTCGATTGCCAGGGTCCGGCTGTTTGGGGTTTAAGAGTTAAAAAGTCCGGTCCCGGGTTGGGTTGGGTGAAGAGAGTTCGAGGTTTGGGGTTTGGGAAGGAAAAAAAGGTCCGCTGCCGCTGGAAGCTTTGGAATTTTGGGTTTGAGGTTGGTTTGGAATTTGTGGTTTTCGGCAGGTCTGGGTTTCGGGTTTGGGGTTGAGATCGTCCGAGTTGGGCCAAGTCGGTCCGGGCTTTCCATGACTCCGCTTCAAGCCCCAACAAAGCTTTAATCCCGTAACCTCTACAAAACCAAACCTTATCGCTTTCAAGAACCCCAGACGGGCAACCAGGTTTCGGGGGCAGCATGGCTTTGAAGGACAAACGTCATGTCAGTTGGCAACAGCTCACAAGCTAGTTGCCTCTCAACAAATTCTGCTATGGATGACTCCATCGGAGACTCCTAAGGCGTTACAGGCCTCAGAGTGCAGTGAACTGCTCGACCCTATGAGAGCGAGCTGCTGGATCTCCGCCCAACACTAGCCAGGTAAGTTTATGCAGAACCTGCATTTTTCTTGCAAGCCATGATTTGGTTCAAGTAGGCTGTGTAAGCAGTCCGACGATTTTTGCAGGTCCTTTCTTGCAGTCCGACTTCCGTTTCTCCCTGAAAAGAAGATGGCTCAATAAACCTAGTCTTGGCCCGCAACTTCCTGTACACATCAGATAAAAGCGAGAACTGTGGGTTCTGGCTTTGACCAAGTGTGGCACTAGCAAGCTGTTAAACCCGAAAAGCTCTACTTCTTGCTTGGCTGGGAACACTTGTGCAGTGTTCTGGCATCGATGATCAGAGCAGGTTCCAAACATTGTGTGGGCTTAAAGATGTGCCACAGCTCGATTTAGAAGCAGCAGACCGACCTAGCTCCGCCGGCAGCAATTGGTTCTCTGTTCGTTCTGTTCGTTGGAGCTCAGAGCTCCCCAAAAATTGTGTGAGTCACATTGATGCGTCCCATTCACGGCAACCTTTAGTAAAAGGCGAAAGATTGGTGCGCTATGAAGTGAACGCTGTGATGACCAGGCATGGAACTTTCGGCTTCTGCAGACAAGCTTCAGAGTGCTCAGCATACAGACATTTATGGATCGAGCCTCAGAGTTCCACCGTTTTCTCGACGTGTGCAAGCAGTTTCCAACAGTCAAAGTCAAAGCAGCCCGTTGCAACATGCATGGAGCTGCCAAAACCATCTGCATGCAGCAGGGTTTCGTCCAGAAACAGCAGCAACCTTGCTGCAGAACACCAGTCACCAGTTAGTGTGCAATGTTGTTGGGCCGAAGCCCACGTAAAAATTGCAAGAATGACCTTGACGATCAAACTTGACGGGAATTGGAGTAGTTTTCAACTAGCAAACAGCGCACCTCCGCTAAGCGTCACTGATAGCGCTATTGCCCCTTCCGCAAGGATGCCTGAGGCTGGATCCTCCGGGGAATCATTTTGTGGCTAGAACTAATCATTCCTGTTGTCAAAAAGCAAGCAGCAAGATTAAGAAAACCGGCAGCTAGAACTATAATCATTCCAGTTTTTCAAAAAGCAAAATTAAGAAAATGGGCAGCAACCGCCTCTTCCATTCTTGGCCGAGCATAGTTACCCCAGTAGGGTGTGCTGCCACTGGCTTGGTGCGATGCCAGCGCAACACGTGAAGGCTTCTGAGCGAGCTCATGAAGACACTTCCCCAGCAAAAATAGATGTGACAAGCAAGTCTCCAGTTGGAGACATATCAGTTGTCACACTGATAAGAACAGATACTACACTTGATCATAGCCAAAAGGCCGAGAAGGTATGCTCTAGGGTGCAGATTTCCAGATCTTGTGTGCAAGTGGCAATTGCATTGTATGCAACATATCGAATCGTTTTCAATTTGGAGGTTCCAAGAAAGAACGT